ACTGCCTCTCTTTCTCCACACTCACAAACGTTAGATAAGAGGACTTCCTCTTACCGTCTCTTGGTTTCTGTGAAGCTCGCATCAGAGGACCCTGCACTCCATCACGCTCCTTGCTATCATTTAACTTCCCACGCATTGTACAGTTTGGAACAGAGATGTCTCCTTCAAAGCAATTATCTGACGGAGGCTTGCAGTGATCAAACAAGCTTGGTTTTTCAATCCCACAATCGGTTGTGCCCATGCTTGTCACCCTGCTCAGAGCTACCCTACATCTGGCCAGCACAGCATGCTCTTCCCTGTTATGACCACATCTGTGCCCCCACGCACCAACAACCCCACTGCCTCATCTGTCCACTCCATCCTGACTTGCTTGCTCTGGGTGAACTGCAGCTCTCACCTCTCCTGTGTCTCTAAACCCCTTGGTTCTCTTTCTTGTCTAACAATGCCTAGCTCTGGGTCGGCCTCATATGCCCTTCCCAGCACTGATGGGAGGCTAGACAAACTTTATGTTTCCAGAGAGTCCCACAAGCTCATGGTCCCCGACCTCTGAAGGTCCTGCTACCGCCCTGAAGCCTCTGTGGATCATTATTAGCTTCTCTTCCCTTTTCCACAACAGCTACTTGGAGCATTTCTTCACTTCAGATTTCCCATTCTACTCAACCCTCTACCATTGAGCTAAGTACACATCCTCAACTCCAGTATTAAAGCAGAGTGGTCGAGCTACCTAGTATACAGGCCCACCTCCAGTTCCTCTCTTTCCCTCCCATGTGATAGGAAAGTGCTTTTCTTCCATCTGAGACTCTCTCCAAACTTCACCTCACATACTCTGGCTGAGTTCATTCCATTGTTCAACCACTAACTCTTCTATAGTCTATTCCTCTACTAGGGTATCCCCATTTACCTTTCAAAAATTGCATTTTAATTCATGTGTGCACATGTGTATTCTCATGATATAGTCACCACATGTTTAGGTCAGAGCACAGCTTGCTGGAGTTTGTTGTCTGCTCTCATGTGGTTCCCAGAGGTTGGATTCATCAAGTCATAAAGCTGCTCTTTCCAAGGCCACCAGTGACTCTCTGTTGCTAACCTGGGGGTGGAGACAGTTCAGAGCTTGGCTTTACTAACTCGGACTGCACCGTGTCACCCCACCCCCACTCTGGTTTCTGTGGCACACCGTGCTCTGATTTTCTCCAAATCTCTCTGTTCTTTTCGCCTTTTCATTTGGAATTCTCTTCCTCTGCTTGTTCCATAATTGTCGATAACTCACAAGGAATTTGGGCCTTCTCTTAGATCCACTCTAGTGAATTCAACTCATTTCCATGACCTATCTTTTAATAAGTTGGTAATGTATTAATAAGTTGATAATTTATCATTCTATCTCCTCTCCTTAGATCCTCTCCATGAGCTCCAGACCACCTCCTCGGCATCTTGACTGGACATACCACAAGCAACTCAAATTTATCTCCTCTTTTTAATTTTATTTAGTTTTTACAACTTGTTTACTTTTATTTCATAAGCATTGACTGGTGTTTTGCCTGTATGTACTCCACCAGGAGCTCACCAGGCCAGCTGACTTGGAGTCTGTAGTGCAGCTCAAAAGGTAGAAAGTGAGAATCAGCTCCCAAAAGTTGTCCTCTGACCTCCATATGTGCTCCACAGCATAAAATATAAAAAGTAAAAATGAACCCAACTGCACAAAACCCCCAAAGTCTCTGAATTTCTGCTTCTTTAATACAGCTCAGAAACATTATCCACCTTTTCCCGCACTGTGCAATTCTCACTGTGGCGCTTCTCAATTCACATCCCACCTCCATCTTCTTCTGGTTATTCTCCACACAGCCCCTGGACATTTTCAAAATGCCCGTCTCCTTTAAAACCTTCATCATCTTTAGAATAAAGTTTGATCCTCAGCCTACCCTGGTAGATGTTTTAGGACATAGCTCTGGTCAATTGCTCCAATGCCCAGTGTTTAAAATTCAGGATTCTGGCTAATCTCCTCCTTGCTTGATTAAAACACATTAAGCTCTGTTTTCCTCTTTAAGGAGGAGGCTAACACACTTTTCTGGAATCTTCTACAACTCTAGCTGCTAGGTACCCAGAATTCCATTCTTTTAGGATCCTATACCCTAAAAATGAGAAACTAAATATATTGAACTTTTTTTTCATGAGTCAGGCACTTTAACTCGCCCAGTTCATCCTCTCAACTCTGAGGCATTATCATCTCCATTTCTCAAATGAGAAAACTGAGATGAGGATTAAAGATATGTAATCCGAGCCAGTCGTACAAGAACTAAGAGAGGGTAGGGAGGCAAACCCTAATTGCCCTGGGCACCAGCTTTTCTCGTTTCTACAGTCGAACCAATATCTGACAACACAAGATAGAAAATTTTAAAGTAGACAAACATCCGTTGAGGCTTAATGCAGGTGAAATACTTTACATAGGTCAATCTGTCCACTCCTTACAACATTTTCAAATAAGCAAACTACAAATCCCAGAATGTAGTTTCTATGAGCTCATATAGCTAGTAAATGGGCTTGAATTTCCCCACCTATACCCTCATTAGCTTCTATCCAACATCAGTAAACAGAATTTTATAGCTGAAGACAAAAGTTCATCCCAGGGTCACAGACCTGATCAGGGGCAAATCAGGATTAGAACCTGGCTTTGTGCCTCTAGCATATTCCATTTTAGCATCCATAGGGGTTGTGGGTAGAATCCAAGAACCTTAGCTTTTCCCTGTTTGTAACCATTTCAGAAAACTAGCATAACTAGTGGAGGGATGATGCCAGGAGTAAGACACAGGGCCTTGCACATGACAGGTTCTATCATTAATCTAATTTCCTGCCCTAGCACTACTTCCGAAGGCCTGATCTCCAAAGTGGTTCACCTCTGGCTCCAGGTGGGCTTCAATAGCCTTCTGTTGATGCCTATTATGTCCTATTATATGGCAGAGCCCTTCTACCTGATTTCCCAACAGGCATTGTTCTTACTGTATCCACTGAGCGTCAATGCATCCCATTTCCCTCTGCTCCTTGCAGTTTTCTCATCTTCTGTAGTGAGGCCCCATCTGTTGAGTCAGACTCCTTCAGGGTCCAGCCAAGATCAGTGCTGCTTGGAAGTCCTGTTAGGAAAGAACTGGCACTCTCTTCACTCCTCTATCCTAGCCTTCACTCCACAGCTATCACTGGCTCAAGCATAGCAGGCTTCCTTTCTCTCAGACTCCATTCAGAGTCTTTCTAGTTACTTCCTTTCCCACCATGAATTAATTACACTTGTACATTATTAAGACATTCTTTCCAGAATGGGTTTGTTGTCATAACCCTAAACTTCTGGGATGGTGACAAGACATGCACAGGATTAACGGGACATCTAGTCAATATCAGAATCTTCAATGGGGATTCAGGGGGGAAAAGCTAGCTAGCAAGGCAGGAAACCACCATGGAGTCCTGTGATGCTGAACAGAGGGTTTAAAGGACAGCCAGCATCTTATTTCATGAGTGACAGGTGAGAGATCTTCCCAGACAGGGAGTGGGCGGTTTGCATTTAGACACAGAAAGTAGGGCCAACAGCCACAAATAGAGGAACATGAAGACTGATGACATTTAGTGGAGAATTGACAAGAATAGCAAGCATATATATACATGCTTGCTATTCTTGTCAATGTATATATATGTAGAAGGACCCTCAGGACATTCAGGCAAAATTCCAACTAATCATAATAGTATGAATGGCATTTAAACATTTTTTTTCAACCGGTGGCATCTTTCTTGTGAACATCTCTAGCAATGGGAAACACCTAACCTTAGGAAATAAAGATTTTGGAGGTATATGCCAAAGTCAAACTGCTGTCCATTTTCAGTAAATATGGGTAAATCTCAATATTTGTTGAATGCCTACTATATGTTAGATGTTGTAGAAATGGAACTGTAAATATGAATAATACGGATCTCGCCTCTGTGAATTTACAATTTCATGAGGAAGATGGGTGTGTGAACATGCAAATAAAATAGAGGAAGTAGAGGCTGACAAACTCAGAAAGAGATGTGCAACACTGGGCAGAACATCAAGAAACTCTTCACACATCAAGGTAACGTCTAAGCTGGGGCCTTAAGGGTGTTGAGTTAGAGGAAGGCAAGATGGAGGCAACCATAGGAGTGAGAGAAAACGGATGCTCAAGGCTTGCCAGTTTCCAAAGTTAAAAACGATGCAAAAGAGGGTGGAGTGCAAGTCTCAAGGGACTTTCCAGCTTTGCTGAGCAATGTAGATTCGATCCCAGGGTCCCCAGGAGGCCTGTGAAGGGTTTTAAGCAAAAGTAGCTCACTCTATCAGAAAGCACTGTAGAAGATGCTGCAGCATCCGGTTGGCAAGAATGTGGGGATAAGATCTTAGTGGCGCAAGGAATGTGACCAGGAAGTAAAGCCCTTCGCTGTCAGGATTAAGGCAAAAAATAAAGTTCAGAATGCAGTGTGAAGGTCTCCTTCTGTATCCTTCTTCATCTCTGGTGAGCAAGAACCAAAACGGCTCGCTCTCGTTTGGCTCCACCGAGTGTGGGAGCGAGGCCGTCTCGTTACCCTTCTTCCTAGACAGGGAAACTGAGGCCCAGGGTCCGCTGATAGGAACCGAGAAAAAAAGAGAGTCGAACCCGCCACTGAAGAGGCTATCCCAGGTCACGTGTATTCCTACGAGGGTCCCGGGGCCTGCCCCACTTCTCCATCCATGCCCAAGGGGCCGACTTTGCTATGGAAACAGTCTTCCCACCCTCCTCCTCGCCTAGGGCTTCTCAATGCACTCTGGGAAATGCAGTCCATCTCTGCTTACCAGCCCGCGGCACGAGCCCACTCCAAGGCCCTAAGAGACTACACGTTCCAGCAGGCGGAGCAAACACTCGGGCGGTCTCTGGGGACAAGGTCCCCACGGAGGGGCCGGAACCCCCCAATGGGCAGCCTCCTGGGCGGAGCCTGCATCGCCATTGGCTACGGCGGCGAGTGGGAGGCGGGGTCGGCGGAATGAGGCGCGGAGCTGTTCCCCGCTCCAGGTGCTGAGTCCGAGGGAGGCTCCGGATGCCAGAGCCGTGGCCGCTGCAGCCGTCACCGCCGCGAGAGCCGCCGCTGGGAAGCCCGGGTCCTGGGGAGCTGGGAGGCGCCGCGCGCGCTTCCCCGCGCTGAGCGCCCTCCTGAGCGCCGCCTGAGGTGGGTGCTGCAGGATTCGCTTTTGTTTTATTGAGGAGAGGGGGTTCTGGGGAGTTGACGGGACGTGTCCTCGCCGCTCTCCACACCATCTGTCCGTGGAACTGGAGAACTGACTGCGGGCCTCTCCGTGGCCCAGTGCCTGAGGTCGGAGCAGCCGAGGCTGGGTTTTATCGTGTAGTAAAAGGGTTCCTTGAATGCGAAGGACGAGGGCTGGAAGACCCTCGCCCGTCTCTCCTGGGGGAGCATGAAAAAGGCTTGGAGTCTCCCTTTCCCTAAAGTCGAAGCTGCTTGGGTTATTGAGGATGGAGAGTGTTCTGGGATGAGAGGTTTGGAGACAGGGGAATCCTTCCCTATAGCATCCCAGAGGTTTGAGGTTGCAAAAGGAAATTGGGATGTGATGGATGAGACTCCTCCCCTCCTCTCAGACTCTCCTAGGTTTCTAGTTATTAGGGAGACCCTTCCCCTTGCATCCTAGGAAATGGATAAACCTAGACTCCTCTTGCACCCAGTTGGATTCTTTGCGGGGCATTTGTTTTTGAGAAATGGAGAAAGTGAAGGGATGGAGGACCCCTCCCCACGTTGCTCCCATGAAGGAAAGCACTGATGGATGCTCCCGGTCCTCTGTGATGGAGCCGCGCCTAAGGTCTAAATAGCCTGGGTGTGGGAGGTGGGTGGAAGTGAGAGTCTAAGGGACCCCTCCCTTCCCAGGTCTTATCTCCCAGGCCCTCTTCACTAGAGCCAGGTCCCAGGCAGTAGAGTGGAGATCATCCTCCCTGCCCCGCCACGCCCCAGGGATTAGAGCTCTAGCCCTGAGGAGAGGAGTCAGATCTGGATGGGCACCTGAGGGGCAGGACCCGGTGGTCTCCCTCGCCAGCATACGGCAGCTCCAGGCGACATCGTCCGCGTTCGCGGATCCTGGAGGATGCTCCGCTGCTTGCCGAGCGCGCCCCAGTTCTGGCCGCGGGGATCTGGTACCCGGCGTGCAGCAGCTGCTCTCAGGTGCGGGGCTTTCGCGCTCTGCCCAGGCATTTGCCGGAGGACAAAGCGGCGATCGCGGCACTGACAGGCGTGCCTGGCTGGCCTGCGTGAGGGGCGCGGCTGAGGAAGGGGGGCTTCGGGCGCGGCACGGGTAGCTTCCACGGAAACGTGCCAGGAGCGGAGAGAGAGAGAGACAAAGCGCGCTCGCTCCTCGCGGGCCCGCGCGAGCCGGGATGGAAAATCCCGAGGGAGGAGGTGGTTGTGCTGTGCTGGGTCCTGTACTGTACTCAACTCTAGTCGCCCCCCCTCCATCTGTACGCCCGAACCCCACTGTTGGTCCTGCCCCAAGAATGCGGTGTGCGCGATGGTTACCAGAGTCAGGACTTGTGACCACAGGATTGGGATGACCAGGGACTCTACCTTACAGGAAGGATAGGGGTTTAGGGGACATGTGTGAGACAGGCATACTGACTGGACCCACTCAACCTCATGCCCCATAAGCTATAGTAGGTCAAATTTGGTTCTGTGTCTGGGTGTGTTTTTGGTAATAGTGTGGATCAGAGTGTGAGTGAAAAATGTGTGTGACTGTGTCCTGTCCATCCGTGCTCCAGTGTTCACTTGTGTGTCGTGCTGTGGTGAGCCTATACATATGGCAGGGGGGAGGGGTGGAGAGAAGGAGGAAGAGGAACTAAGCTTGGAGGTAGAAGGGAGCAAGAGAGTCACCCTTTCAACTCTCAAACCACATTGTTGACCCAAGGTCCAAATGCATGCCTTTAGGGTGGAAGCAGTTTTAAATTGCCTAGGGTCTATGCTAAAGGACTGGATACGTTCTAGTCAGTGAAACTTTGCAAGGTTGTGGCCCCTTCAGCCCCTGAGGACCCCAAATTTGACCCTGACATCGTCATCAGTCCTCATCCCCTGGAGTGCCTTATCATGCTGTAGTGGGCTACCCTAATGACCAGGGTCTGCCCTACCACTGGCTGCTGAGTAAGGTTTGGGAGGCCTGTCAGCAGAGTCGGAAAGGCTATAGAGTTAGGGTTACTAGTAACCACAGATGGGGTTTTTAAAATACCAGGTACAAACACATGTGACAGTCACATGCCTGTAATCCCAACACCCGAGAGACAGAGGCAGGAGGATTTCCATGAGGTAGGGGTCAGCCTAGGCTAGATAATGAGACTCTGTCTTACCACTCCTAGAAGATAGACACAACCTCCCAGACTGATGAGTCCCAGCAGTTGACCCCAGTTTCTCTGCCACCATCACTTTTATGTCAAAGATTTTTATGCAGCTTCAAGATAATCTCCTTCACATAAATCAAGGGGATAGATTATGGACTGTGGAAGAACCAGGCAGAGAAGCCACCAGCCAGCCAAGCCTACCTGGTCTTTTTCCCTTAAGTGTCCACTGCCAGCATCCACAGTGACCTCTGCTGGAAGGAAGTCAAACCAAGGCACAATTTGACAACCACTACTAATCCCCTGTAGTGTAGAGAGGCTTGTGTTAGTGTGGGCATTGTTAGGTAAAACCACATGCTTCTGCTGGGACTAATTTCCTGTTTACCTTTGGAGTAGCAGTTCTTGTTTTGGTTTGGTTGTTTCATAGAGTTGATGATGAAGCCCAGGACCTGGATACCTATTAAGTAAGCATCCTTTCTCTGAAGTGCCTTCTTCCCAAGATGCTGTTCTTGTCTATGTTCTTTCAAATGCCACCAAGCAGTAAAACTGCTGCTGTCTTCAACCACATGGAAAAGAGGGTCTGAAGGCTTTCATGTCTGTACAGTTGAGAAATAGAAAACAGTTATCAAGGTCAAAGAAATTCAGGTACCTTTCTGGCCTCTCCCCTACCTTTCTTTACTCTTCCCCTCCTCTCATATTCCACTTTTTATCTTTTTCTCAGTCAGTAACACATTTTCAAAACCAAGCCTTATTTATTTTCCTCATTGACATTGTGGCTTAGAAACTTCAGACTTCTGGAGGCTATTACTAAATTCAAAAGGCCCTTGAGCATTGGCTTTTCCTACGAACTAGAGTGGGGGAGGTGGATGAGACATCCTGAGTCCTAAATGCCCGCCTGGTGACATGTGTCTCTTCTGGAGCTGCTCTGAAAAGCTTTCACACTGTCACAAGATTATTAGAGCTCCTCAAAGGAAGGTATTTAAATACCTGGCATTGTTCTTACTCTGGCATCCATGTGATTTGCATTGAACTACGTGACTCAGTATCATAAAGTAAAAATAGGACTTCATTTCTTCCTCGCCTGTTCAGAAGGTGCCTGCATATAGTGTGTTGTGCTCTGCATTGGCAAGTGAAAAGCTAAATCACCTCATAAGCTGAACCACCTGAATATCCCGATTAGAGAAGAGTGCTTAACATCACCAACAGGCCATAAAATTACTTTGTTTCTTTTCATTCATACCTGAATCTCTGTCCTGTGAAGCATTTCCTCATGCTCATGCATTGTTGCTTTTAATTGAGGTTAATCAAGAATGTTTAATCCAGTCTGGTGGTGGTGGCACAGGCCTTTAATCTCAGCACTAAGGAGGCAGAGGCAGGTAGATTTCTGAGTTCAAAGCCTGGTCTACATACTTCCAGGACAGCCATGGCTACACCTGTCTCAAAAAAAAACAAAAAACAAAAAACAAAACAAAGTAACAACAACAAAAAAGTTTAATCCTTGTACTGAATCCAACAAATTAAATACCAGCAGACACAGGAAGATGTGAGTGGTGGTTTTGTTCTTTGGGGACTCATAGAAAAAAAAAAGAAAAGAAAAGGACTCTAAATTTGAAATTTCTTATGGGTGGAGTTAGGGCTTTCTGAGAAGAGACTCCTTAAAAATATCCAGGAGGGCAGGCTGGCCATATTGAAGTATATGATAATGAATGACACTGTGGCTGTGTATGCAAGAAACAGCATTCATATTGGGAGTATCTCTTCCGCTGCAAAAATCGCCCCAGGTTGCTGTAGCTCCTTCAACTAGCAGCTCCTTGGTGGAGGAGGGGCTGAGCCAAGGCGTGGATCTATCCAAGGTTCTGGAATACCGGCCTCTGCCTGCCAGCTTCAAGGAGTAGGGAACAGAGCAGAGCTGAGGGCCACCACCTCTGTGAGGATTTCCTTACAGCTGATTACAGAAAAGAGTGGAAGAAAACAGAGATGTAGAGGTTCTCACCGCATCATTTGGAATAAGCCCATCGGCAATCCCTATTTAAAGACTTACAGGCTCATTATAAAAGGAAACATTTTCTAAATCAGGCTGTTTGCATGCAAGAATGCATTTAATCCTGACAGTCCTAGGAGATAGTGTTATTCCCACTTTCAAGGTGAGCAAACAAGGTGAGCTTTAAGAGGAAAGGGGCCTTCCGGAGACCACACAAGAGGGAGTTTAGGTTCCATCGGGATCTATTAAACTCCTTTAATAACATCAAACATCTTCACCACATTTTCTTTTCTACTGCTGAAGCAAAAACTGAAGTATTGGACTGTCCTATGGAATGGCATATCTAATTCTAGAGGAGTGAAGTTAGGGGAAAAGTAGAATTCAAACACAAGTCACAGAAGCCTTTTAAGTTCAGCAAATATACTGCCATTTTTTAGTGTCTTATTCTGGTAAGGTTTGTTGCTTGAACCTGGTTACCAAAGAATGCAGTGTAAAAACATAGGGGTTTTTCCTAGAGTGGAAATTTTTCACAGGAATTTAAGTCTGGTTAGTAATAAAGTGGATTTTTTTTTAAAGAAAAGAAGAAGAAAAAGCCTCTGCTTTTTTTTAAAAAAAAAATTAAATACCAAGTGCATTCAGAGCTGACAAAACAGGGATATTATTAGGAGACTCCTTTCATCTATTCCCATTCTCAGACTTTCACATCAAAGTTCTTAACACCTAGATAAAACTTTTCATTGTTGTGGATGTCAGCCAGTCTTAGGGACACATCATGTTCCTGTCCAGACTCACACCATCACAGCTAATGCTTTACCTTCAGATGTGGCTGCAAGACTCCTGGAGGTGGGCGGCTTAGAGCTTGT